CCCCCCCCCTTCCTTGTGCAACACTCCCCCTGTGTGACTCCCCCTCGTGACACCCCCTTCCTTGTGTGAGACCCCTCTCTGCTACTCCCCCTTGACCTCCCTTCCTCGTGTGAGACCCCTCCTTCCCTCCTTGTGCAAGACTCCCCCCTTCTTGTGTGACACCCCCCCCCCCCGGCCCCCCCCTCCTGGTGCAAGACACCCCCCCTCCTGGTGCGAGGAACCCCCACCCGTGGCTTGAAGGCGATGATCTTGAGCACCATCTCCACGGTGAAGAGCCCGGTGAAGACCATGTTGAGCAGGTCCATCACGTAGTTGAAGGGCTTGGACTGCTCATAGTGCTGGGGGGAGGGGACACAGGTAAGGACCTGGGTGTGTCCCCCCCTCAAAGTGTCCCCAGGTGTGTGTCCCCCCCTCACCTGCACGGCCAGGGCGATGGTGTTGAGGAGGATGAGGACGAACATGATGTACTCAAAGGCGGTGGAGTTGACCATGGCCCAGACGCGGTACTGGGTCCGGTTCTTGGGGATGTACCTGCGCAGCGGCTGCGCCTTCAGCGCGTACTCCACGCACTGCCGCTGTGGGGGGGGGGACAAACACACACACGCACGGCTGTCACCCCCCCGCACAGCCCCACCGGGGAGGGCACAGAGCTAACAACCCCCCCATGGAGCCATCAGTAGGGCCCAGAGTGAACGACCCCCCCATGGAGCCATCAGTAGGATCCAGAGTGAACAACCCCCCCATGGAGCCATCAGTAGGGCCCAGAGTGAACAACCCCCTGTGTCCCCAGGGGGGGTACACCCCCCACCCCGTCCCGCGTTGTCACCTGGTTCTTGTCCAGCTCGCAGTTGCGGTACTCGCTCTCCCCCTGGGCCCGGAAGGTGATGATGACAAAGCCCACGAAGATGTTCATCATGAAGAAGGCGATGACGATGATGTAGACGATGAAGAAGATGGAGATCTCCACCCGGTAATTATAGATGGGGCCCTGATCCTCCGCGTTGGCGTCGATGGCTTTGTACAGCAGCCTGGGGAGGGGGCAGGAACACACACACACACATTTTGAAGGTGTCCCCAAGGCGTGGGGTGGCCTTGTCACCTTCTCCCCCACCCCTCCCAGGACTCACGCGGGCCACCCCTCGAAGGTGGAGACGGTGAAGAGCGCCATCATCCCGGCCAAGACGTTGTCGAAGTTGAAGTCGCTGTTGTGCCACAGGCGCTCCCGCACCGAGGGGTGCGACACGTCCCCGTCCTTGTACACCAGGAAGGTGCCCCTGGGGGGGGAATCACACACACATGGAGGGGGGGCACCATGGGGACAGGGACACGGGGGACACACGGTGGGGGGGTGAGGCACCCACTTGCACTCCCCTGGCGTGTGCTTGGCCTCGTCGGTGCAGCTGTAGAACTTGCCCTGGGGAACCAAGGGGGGGGTCAGAGGGGAGCCT